GCTTGTGCAGAGGGGTCTGCGGAACCACCCAAACCATTAGAAACGGGCTGGATCCGAGCCCTTACCCCAGTGGGGAGGCAATGATGTGAAGGGAGAGAATGTGCAGGTAGTTACTGTGGCTCAGCTGATGGGTAGTAACCTCTCGAGACACCCGAATTCAAGGGATATCTGAGACCTTCACTATGAAGCAAATTATCCCAATTCCTACACAGTGTGTAGCAGAACATACGATAACGGAGGACTCCTCTTCCTCCCTGCTGGTGCCAAATCAGGTCACAGCTGCACAAGCATGTTTGAAAAGAGAACACAGAAGCAGCTTTAAAAATCCCCACATATTTTTGGTTTAAACCTTTTAGAGAGCTGTATGTCAGGTGCAGGACAGAGGGCTTCATTCTGCACTGGGCCATCAGGGTGTGGATTTCCAGCTCACGTCTACCTGAAGCTTACACCATGCTTTCCTCCACGGCCACGCAAAGTGGCAAGGACCCAGCAGACCTCCAGATGAGCCCAGACCCACAGCCCAGGAGAGGACCGTGCGATGGGGACTGCCCGGCCCCTCGGACCGGGCAGCACGTGGCGGCAGCAGCAGCGTGGGTGTGGAGAGCTCTGCCCGGTGCCTACCGACGGCTCTTGCCTGCCGGCTTGGGTGAGTCACTTTGCTCTGCGGCATCAAAATCACCCCCAGCACAAATGGAGGTGCCAAAACGCCAGATGCCACAGTGAGGTCTGCAGAACATGACCCAAGAAGAGGTGAGAAGGTAGAAATTGTGTCCGTGGGTGTGGAAAATGGGTCAGGGAGAATGCAGGGGCTAGAGAGAGTCTCAGCAAAGAGGCTGCAAGTGTCTCTTCATTACGTCCTAAACCCATTTGGCCTTCAGCATCCCCCACCCCACCATCATTAGCTTGTCTTTACAGCTCTTCCTGATTCTTTCCCTCCTTGCACTTCAGTCATGCACCCTGGTCATAAGTCGTCATCTTGGTACAAGTTAACACATTTTTCACTCCCATGCAGTGCTTCCCCTCCCAGGGGATGGATCTCCAACCTAACATTGAACTCGGGATCTTCTTGGATGCGTGAGGAGGTTTACTTGTGTTAGGAGCAAAATGGCCACCTCATGTCCAACCCTGCTAAAGTGCAGAGATGTGGAATAACTCGGGGTTGAACCTCTCGCAGGACCCTGTCCAAGGCTCTGTGGACACAGTGTCCCCACACGAGCACACGAGAGCAGCTGAACATCTTAGCTGTGGGATTTTTTGAGGAACTGTTCAAATTACCACATCAGAGTTTTCACAAGCCTATAAAAACTGAGCAAATAGGAAAAGCATATCAGAAAGCATATCAAATCACGAGGCAGATAGGAAGTCCCTTCAGTTGTTTATTGTCCATAATCTGACAAGGCTTTAGGTTAGCCATAAGAAATTTGTCATGAATATTAAAGACAGATATGGGGAAGATGGAAATTTGAGTGATATGAACACTTTCAGTATTTCAGACAAGATTGGGTTTGCCTCAGCTGCTACCACAACCTTTCAGATAAGTGGTAAGGTTTCTTTTTATTAAATGGATTGATATGGTTTCTATGAAGAAAGTAGTGCATAAAAATGAAATATTGTATATGTAATGCATATTAAATGCTTTTTACAGTGATTTGGCTACTAAATTAACTGACCATTTAAAAAGAGAAGTATGTGAAAATGTCCTTTCTAGCCAAAAGCTGATGCTGAGAATCAGAAGAGACTAGTTCTTTTCCTGTTTCAGAAAATGCCTAATTTCTTTGAGTAGAACTTTCATGTCTTAATAGTTAAGATATGGAAATCACCAGATCCATTAAAAAAAGTAAGTTGATGAATTTTTAGCTGAATATAAATACTTCATTGCTGACTAAACCATTCTATTGTAAAACTAATTAAATCATTGTACTCTTTTAAAGCTAAGACTTTAAACTCCTGATTACGCTACTTTGAAAAAAGTCAATTAAGGGTAACTTACTGAATATCCGAAGTAGTTATTAATGGTTCTGCAATACTTTTTCTCCCTAGAGGCCAAAATTCAACAAAGCAGTTTATTTCTTTTACACTTGCTGATGACAATTAGTTTTAAACATTACGACTTGTTTTCATTTGTTCTGCAGTTCAGTTTATTATTGATTTTGCATTTGTTTCGATGTATACCTGCCTCACTGTTGGAATCGCGTGTATGCGGCACTCTGGGTGGAGAGGGCATGAGCTTTGAGCAGCCCTCTTTGAAAGGCAGCCTGGCAGCCTGGGACAACTAAAAACAATGGAAACAGGGAGTTTATTGATGCAGAAAGGGGAGAGCCACCACATTCGTACTGTTATAGGCTGGATTAAGTCTTGATGGAAGTGAGCTGGTTAAACTGGCTGAGGAAAAGACGGTCAAGTTGGAGTTGCAGTGCAAAGCCTGGGTGAGTGGAAGGCAGCCTGCCTTGCCTGCAGGACCTGGCAGCCTCGCAGACGGACCTCGCTGCTCCCCGTCGCTGCTGATTTATTGTGGCCAAGCCTGAAATGGCTGGAAGCGAGCAAAGTTTGTAGCGAGAGATGTGAGAGGATGTCTACCCTACTTCTGTTGGTTTTCAGAGCCTCGAAGCCAAAGCAAGCCATCCTCGTGCTGTGCCTGGGTGGCCCTCAGCGTCTACCTGCCTGCGGTCGGTACATTAACAGAGCTTTGCTGGGTGCTGGCGGGGGAACATGGGCGAGCGGGGATGAGCACACAGCTATGAAACCTCTGAGGGGGCACAGAGACTCCTCCGCACACCGCAGGTCAAAGCAGCCACTGCAGGAAACCGTTCCCCCACCACATATATGTGCTTCGCTTTTGCAAAAGCACTCCCAGTCGCACTCCTGGCTGCTGCAAGGATGGGCACATGAAAACCACCTCCCCAGGTCAAACGGTGGTGGTGGTTAACCCCAGGTGTCCTCCACGGTGCTAAGGAGCGGCTCTGCCGAACAGGCAGGCATTTCCCAGATGGATCAGGCAGGGAATATTCACTGCACGGCCCTTGTTTTTCCTCAGTGTTTAAGATGCAGAGAGAGATACTGAAATTTCAAGAACAAAATGCCTCCTATACAGAAGAGATTCTGGAACACTCCTTTGCCAACAAACTGCTTTCAGAGAGAAACTCTATAGAGAAACACATGGGACATGAAGAAAACTGGAGGAGAAGCTTAGAAGAGGAAATCACCATAATTAAAAGTAGCAATGCAAACCTGATGATGATGGTAAACAACATCACCTTGGTTGCAGGTATGGCTCCGTTTCTCCCTGCTAGCTGTACAGTGGGGACAACTGTTTCCTCTGCACCACTGATAAAGCTGGGCCAAAAACTTAGTTCAGATGAACAAATAACTAGTGCAAGAATTGGTCTTCCTGTCAGTTAGTGATGCCCCAGTACTCAGGGTTGGACACTGGATCCGAATGACCTGGCTGGGGAGCTGGACACACCTGGAGAAGCTGGGGCACAGCCCCACACAGCCCCCCAGATCCTGCTGCAGCTGCATACATAGCTCTGGGCTGCTCTTCCCTCCCATAACTTGTAGACTTGGGCTCTGGTTGCCCTCCAGATGGGTGGTGTCTTCAGCCCAGACCTCAAGCCTATCAACCCTGTACTGGTATGTCCCTCACTGAGTGCTGACTACTGAAAAATATCCATGAAATATTCATTTCAGGGCCTCCTGGACGAAAAGGAGATCCTGGTCCACCAGGTATGTTGGCAAATGACCTGTAAGAAACCTTTCCTCTTTTCCTCTTTCTCTTTTCTTCCCCTAAGAGACCTAAAGTGAGGATTTGGGATTTCAGTCCCTAGACTCAGATCCTGCCTAATATGCAGGCACTCAGTGCCCTGGCCATGAGGACCCCCGCTGCAGATTTTGACTGACATCCTGAGAACCTCGGCTCGCCCGAGTGCTCCCACAGAGGTCAGTGACCACCACAGAGCAGCATTTTGGCTCTGCCTCCTCAGTGCTACCCCACCAGAAAAGCTCAGAGGTGATGGAGGAACTTACCCAGTCATTATCTGCAATAACCATCCCACATCCCCATGGGAGACAAGAGAGGACTAGTGAGCGAGTTTATGTGCATCCCACGACCAGCAGATAGCTGGGCTTTCTGTCTCAGACATAGCAGGTCCTGCTGCCCAGCTCACCCCAGGACAACCCAAGAGACCTCCCCAGTCCCTGCTCTGTAGGGCCCCAGCTGAACAGTGCGTGTAACAAACACTGACAGATTTGGGACCTTGCCCACCCTGTCCCTGAGGAAACAACCACACAGACTTGGGAATGAGCTGGGTGAAAGCAATCCACTGCACAGCCATGCACAACTTGGTGCCCTGGGTTCTTCGAGGTTTTGGGTGGAAGTACACCCGCTGCAGGAGACAACTGTCTTCAGGCTGTGAGGATGCAGCAAGTTGCGATCTAATGTTGGCCTGGCTTTGAGCAGAGATTGGACTAGGAGATGTCCAGAAAAATCAGAGTTTCTATAATCCTATAATGATGATCTAAGATGCAACCTTTGTTAGACCAGGTCTGTATCTCATCCATCCCTAGTTCTTGGCTACACTGATGAGCTTTTCTGAAGAAAACAATTAGTACATTTTTTAAAAATAATGTTTTCATATCTTCCTGGCTGCACTTACAACATTGAAACAGCACCTCCGGCCAAGCACTGTTCATATACATCAGAGCCCAGTAGTTTAATGCATTTTCAGGAAAGATCTCCCCAAAGGTCCCCTCGAGCTGGGCTTGGCTGGAGGACAGCTGGCCCCTGCCCAGCCATGCAGTCAGTGGAGCTCCACGGACTTTGCTCAAGTGCTTGTGCTGGTGCCTGTCAGCTGAAGATTGGCCTCAGTGGTGACCGAAGGGGCATGCACAAAGGATGATTAAAAAATTCATCTCTTCTTCTTAGCCATTACTGCGAATAGATGATGTGTGTCAGCTGATATATGTATTCTACTTCTTAGGGCTACAGGGACGACCAGGGACAAAGGGAGAACAAGGAATCCAAGGTAAGGCTTTTCTGACACCTGAATTACTTCTGTGGAAGAATGTAAAGTGGCTTTATGGATGATTTTATGGGCAATCTTGTCCTCAGTCAAGGTGTAAGTCAGTAGGAATGTCACTGGAGTCAAAGAAAATAAGCCTATGTAAAACTAACGTGAACAAAAGCAAAACTTAGCTGGAAAAAATCTGATTTTCAAAGTCAACGCACACCAGTCACGGCAGGCCAGTTGCCCACTGTCACCAGCACCACTCACAAGTACATGGAGAGTGGAGTTTGCCTCATGCCTGCAGCTGAGCCGCGTGGCCTGCTGCTGATGTTCACTAGACATGACACCTGGTGAAACATCAGAAATGTGGTGTTGTCCTTGCAGGCCTACATGGACTTCAGGGTGCGAAGGGGAGCAAAGGAGATCCTGGTCCTGCCGGCCCAAATGGTGAACGAGGAGTGAGAGGAGAAAAAGGAGAGATGGGGCTCGCAGGTAGGACTTCTTCACTATCTCAAAATTTTTAAGATTCTCCCATGTATTCCGGTTTAAACTTATTCTATCTAAAACACCAGGAAGAAGTCCTCATAGGTCAGGTAATTCTTTAAAATCCAGGCAGTGTGGCTTGCCAGTCAATGAGGGAGCTGGATGAACAGGACACTCGACCTGTTCTAAAGAGATTTCATCTTGTGTCGTGCTCCAGCAAAGCTCCCAAAGGAGGGCTGGGGGAAGAGGACATGCAAAATGTTGACTCTGCACTATGGAAGTCTCTTTATAGAGCAACCTTTGTCGAAGGAAAGCCACAAGAATTCAATTATCAGCCTATCCCAGTTTAAAGCAGTGATGTTTGTAGTAGGATTTTCATGGTATAAAATAATACAATATAATTTATATGCACAAGTATGTGGATGTCAGTCTTCACTTTAGCAAAACCAATCTCTGGGAACTTTATCTCTTATATAAGCCTGACTTTTATACATCTTAAGTAGAAGAGTCATGCACCGCGTTTATCCCATATAACGTGCATTAGTGGGCATCTCCTGGAGAGCTGTTATTCAGAGGTCTCACACGGGCTGCACCCAGAGAGGAAAGGCTGAAAGCAGGATAGCAAAAGAGAGCAGAAGATGTGTGTGATGCAGACCAGGGAGGACAGTTGGACGGGTTGATTAGAGCCTCCTCAGATCTTCCATCAGATCCTACATGCCCCAGTATGCTCATTAGCAGAAGTTACTCCAGAAGAGAAAAGCGAAAGTAGGAGGAATACTGAAAGGCGAGGAATTTGGGATAATTCCAGAGCAGAAAGATGAAGGAGATGCCAGTCTTTAAATGAGGCACTTTCAAGTGATTCGGCTCCTTTGGAGCATGCTGATCACCTGTTCAGAGAAGAGAAGGCTAAGAGGAGAAGTGGCAATTCCCTGGAAGCACAGGAGTGGGATATGCTGTCCTCCATCTCCACTGTGGCTAGGAGAAGAGAAGGGTTCAGACTGCAATAAGGGATATTTAACTAGAGAAGAAAACATTCTAGGGGTATGGATAGTTTGGGAAATAGACTGCGGAGGTGTCATGGCACCACTGCAAGTCTTTACCAGCAGGTCAGACAAACAGCTGGCCAGACAGTCTGGCAGAGCCAGAGGTGGCTTGGACAGACTTGTGAGGTGCCATCCAGCCCTGTCCTCCCACAGCTTTACGGGAATGCCACTGAACCGTAAATGCAGGTGTGAGGTCAAACTCTGCTACTGGTGCAGCTAGACAGAGGTGCTCCACTGGCTGCAGAGACAATAAACCTGTTTCCTTTAATTTATACTTGTGCTGTGGTGTTTGATAGGTCTCCAAGGACCGAAAGGTGACACGGGCAAGAAGGGAGACCCTGGGGCCCGTGGGCCCATGGGTCCTCAGGGACAGCAGGGAGTCCCAGGACTGCCGGGTTTCAATGGTAAGTGCAGAGGACACAGCACAACCAACCATCAGCACGTGTGTGCTGTGGTGGAGGGCTGCCCTAGCTGAAGCGTTTGTCTAAGCCTCGTTAGCCCTGATGCTCGGATGTTGTTACAGGTAGCGTGGGGGAGCCTGGACATCCTGGGCAGAAAGGAGAGGCAGGTAAGCAATACAGAAGGTGCAGTTTCTTCCAGACATATGAGACTGACGGTGGTGGTTCATGACAAGCAAAACTGCAGCCAGGCTAGATCACAGTATGGGTATGAGCAGATGATGATTAGATGATTAGATGATGATTAGAAGTCATGACAATGTTGTGCAAACCCTCCCCGCAGCCTCAGCTGTCTCATCTGGACCCCACTCTGTGCAGGAGAACGAGAGGGAAAGAATGGTCCTGTACCATGGAAGGCCATGTCCTCCTTCCTGACACATGTGGCCACACAAGGGCAGAAATTGGCTGCTCTTTTAGGCAAGCACTTGTGCCTCTCCGGGCTGACAGTCTGCAAGGACCTGGGACCATACAGCCTTCACTCCATGCCATCACTCACCGCACCTCTAAGATTGGCACTGCCAGGGGAGGACTGCAATTCGGAGAGACCCAGCTCCTGTTTTGCCTTCATAGGGTCAACTCAACCTGTACAGTGCAGGGGCTGGTGATTGAGCTATCTTTCTTTTTGCTCCTTCGTATGTTGTGATGCAACCTCAAGGCGTAACCGGACAACGCGGACCTGTGGGAGCTCCTGGCCTCGACGGCAGACCTGGTCAGAAAGGGGAGAAGGGGGACCACGGGCTCAGTGGTAGTCCAGGTACAACACTGCTTAAACCTGTAACCAACTGACCTCCTACTCCGGCCTTGCTTTGTGTGATGGCTTCGCCCTTACTGATTTGTTTTTAATTTTAGGAATACCAGGCACTGCAGGACTCAGAGGTGAAAAGGGAGACAAAGGAGTCACAGGTAAAGGAGAATAAAAACAGGTTTGGGGTCAACACCATGCATTGTGCAGACCCTGGAAAGGGATCTGCAACAGCCAGGAGGAGATTTGTTGAGTCCTGTTCTTGGAGCCCCAACACACCCCAGGATGCCATGGTGGGCCTGGGCCTCTGCCAGACTGCCGGGGGGTAGCTGCTCGCTGGAGGGGTTGTTTCGACCATCTGTAACATGCCTGAGGAGGTGATGTTGCCTGCACTTCTGTATAAATAGAAAATGCAAAAAACAAAGCAGCAGTTTAAGATGAACCAAAAAACAACCTCCCTACCCTGGAGCTAAAGACAAATTTTACTGGCTGTAAATGTGGTGGGGAAGGGTATTCACTAGCAAGCATCTGTCCTGGCCTCCTCTGTAGCACTGCAGGAAGAGATATCTTCAGAGGCTGACTTAGAGAGCATAACCTAGGCCTTGCTTTGACCTTCCATCTGAAGAAGGCTACCTCTCTGTTCCAGGCTCCCAAACAATAGGGTGACATTCTGCAGTACAAGCCTATTCCAGTATATTACTGTTGAATCAACCTTTTGAACCTTGAATTTTGACAGTGCACATGACTTCTCACCTCCATCAGGAGGTGGCAAAGATCCAAAGTGCTACACCCTTCTGCATTCATCGATATCTGGATGATAGGGACAGGAGTCACCTGGCCCAACATTATGTGCTTGCATATGTCTAATGCACCTAAATTTACGTGTCTAGGCTCTCTATATGGTCAGTGCCGACCCACCTGGAGGCAGGGTCTCTATTCCATCAGCAGAGTTTAGGATACGAAATCAATGACCAGCAGTTGACCTACTTCAGGAGAAGACGATTCTCCACAGCCTGTACTTTCTTTACTGATGAGGTCTGCACTGAGCATGATGGGAAAGGAGACACCCATTCAGAAACAGATGCTTACACATGTAGACAGCTACACTAGATGAGTTGAAATCCATCATCAATACTAGCTTGCATAAGCTTTTATAAATGTATAAATAACTGTCATAAATTTTCTTTTGATGATCTTAGGTCTTCCAGGGCAAAAGGGAACAAAGGGAGACCAGGGCCCATCAGGTAAAACCTTGTTTGACAGCAGGATTTATTCTGATGATGCAAAGCACTTTAAATACCGTGTTCCACGTCTCTGCATCAATGTGAAATGCTCGTCACGTTCTTACCTTGGGAAGGGACAAAGGCAATGACTTTCTTGCTTTCCACTCAGGAAGCCCAGGCCTAACTGGTCAAAAAGGAAGCAAGGGTGATTCTGGCAGTCAGGGTCCAAAAGGAGAACCGGGAGTAAAAGGAGCCAAGGGAGACCGTGGATACTCCGGTAAGGCTGTTTGCCACAGGGTCTGTGGAGCTGATGGTGCCTTTGGGTTTGGGACTGCACATCACAGGCTGGCATTTGGAGGAACTCAACAGACAGATCAGTCTTCCCAGAAGATGAATGTGCAGAATGTCACTTTCATACTTTGGGAGGTGTGGTAAAAGACAAGTAAACAGATGCATTAGGTTTTCTCCCGTCTCACAGAAAACTGGAACAATCCATGTTCCTCTTTGCTTTGTAGAGAGATGTCTTGCAGCATACCACACCACCAGGATAAATCCCACGCAAACATGGCAGTCAGGAACACACCAGGGCTATCTAACTATTCCTTGCTAATTGTAGGAGACAAAAATTGTTCAAAAGGGTCAATACTACAGCTATTCCCCATCCTTACACCCTTCCCTTCCAGCCACAGAACGCTTCCAAAAACCCAAAGACCTGTAGTAAAAAAAAACAGTCAGCACAACAGGCCACAGGAAGTGAACAGTGCTCCAGATGATGGTATTTCTAATTGTTCGCACCAAACAGCACAAAAGTCCTCAGAAACAAAATAAACTGGAGCCTATCTGGGGCTCCTCTGTGCACTCCTCTTCTGGATCTTTTCCTCTGGAGGAAGGGAGAAGTGTAAATGGGGTGACCCCAGCTTAGGGACTGCCCTCCGTGTGGATCTCAGTTCCTGGTCTGCAGAAGGATGGCAATGTGTGCTTTGTGGAGGTAGTTTTTGAGGGAAGAGCTCATCGTGTTTTTGAGTACCCCTGCTCTCAAGACCAGGATGCTGCACAGAAATGTGGAGGACTGTTGGGACTGGCTTTCTGCTGTCCCATGGCAGCACCTAGAGAGCAAACCCCATGATGTAGATCTTCCTACAAATATTTTGGGAGATATTATGCCCGCTTCTGGAGAGCCCAAAGGCTATCAGAGATGTCATTTTACCAGTAGTAGTGTTAATAAGATACATTTCCCATGAGTGAGTGGATGGGATTTTGCAAGTGGATCTTTTCTTGGGTCACATGTTAGGAAGACTGCTGTATGTTACCCTACTTTTTTTGCTACATTGCTTTTACATACCCTTAGTCGCTTCAGAGGGTCCATTCCACAAGGGAATGGAGCTCTCATATCTCTGACTCACCAAATTATTCAGAAAAGGTTAATAACTCGATTTTCCCCCAAACAACTGCAAAATATTTGCTTTTTTTTTTTTTTTTTTATTTTGGAACAGGTTCCCCAGGAACAAAAGGGAGCAAAGGTGAAAAGGGAGAAGGTACTGGACTTTTATTTCTTCTTCTCTCACTTGCTTTCTGGCATTGAAGCTGTTAGAGATCAGGACCTGTGCACACTTGTTGACCTGCAGCACAGCCACCAGAACCGAGAGGTCCACGTGCTGAGCTGCAGCCTGGTGTCTCCAGACCCAGGAGAGGACCCTGAATTGTTTGGATTTGAGCTGCCAGTAACTTCTCGTCCCATGCGGGCTACAGCCATGGAGATGGGAACGTTCATCCGGTTTGGGCGGTCATTGTTCCCATCTTTCAATGTGCTTTTTTCCTCGTGCTCATATCACGGGTACAGTTATTTTCTTCTCCTCTGAACTGTCAGGCAACTTCAATCATTTTATACGAATCGCGGGAGGGGGCAGGAGGGGCCGCGTGGAAGTCTTTCACCAAGGGTCCTGGGGAACAGTGTGTGACGATGGCTGGAGCATCCAAGATGCCACTGTGGTCTGCCGAATGCTGGGATACAGCCGCGCGGTCTCTGCCTTCACAGCCACAGCAGGTGAGTTCACAACTGCCTGCCACCTCCCCAGGTGTGGCACGGGGGGGTACACACACCCAGAAAGCACCACAGCAAGGTCCTCTACACGAGCAGCAGGAGAGCAAAGAGGATCTCCCCAAAAGGGCAGCTCGTTCCCCTTTGGATGAGGAAGCTGCACTTCAGGTGCTCCTCGAACTGTGCCCAGGGGCTTGATTTCCAACAAGCCAACCGTGCAACCTAACGCACGCCATTCACAGGGGTGTCTTTAGGAAAAAAAAAAAAGCATATTGCTCTTTCTTTTGTCCAATAGTTTTTTAAGTTGTTTGTTTAATTCATCTTCCAAAGGCACTGGACAAATTTGGCTTGACGACGTGAATTGCAGAGGGAATGAACGTTCAATTTTCGACTGTTCAAAGTCTGACTGGGGTGTGAACAACTGCTCCCACAACGAGGACGCTGGGTTGGAGTGCCTTTGATGGGACACAGAGGCTGCCCTGGGAGCCGCTGCCCCCTCTGCTCTCCACGGGGCTCTTGTTCATAATGCAAACCAAATTTCACGCTTCTAAGTCTCTTTACCAGGTCATAAAAATATTGACAGAGAAATTTGAATTTTCCAGAAATTGATGATGGTTTCAGGTAACCTGAAACACCCCAGCTATCATGAAACAACCAGCGCTCAGGCACGTGGGCCAGTTCACAGCTTTTCCAGCTACCTGACATCAGCTCGTCTGCAGCAGCTCACACGTGTGGGACCTCTAAGTCCACAGGGGAGGAGAGATGGTCCACTTCTGCTTAGTGCGGTAGGAGAGAAGAGGATCAGCGTGCAGAAACAGGCAGTTACTGTGGCTGAGCTGGCTAGTCCATCTTCGTCCCAGCACAGTTGTGAATCTGAGCCTAAAACCCCCAGTGAAGTGCAGAGACCCAAGACAAGAGACGCTCAGAAATCATCACGTGATCTCTCTGGTATCCACATATAAATCTTCTCCAGAAATTATGCTGATCACAGGTAAAAGTGCAAAAATAAGTGTCTGGGATCCAGGTGCTGCACTATCCTGGTTTAGCACAGACCTTGGTCTTGACCTTGGCCAAGTCTCTGCCTTCTCTCTCAGTGTTTCCTAATCTGTCCCCAGGAGCAAAAGCCCTTACCTTATCTGGTGTATAAAGCTAAGTGTTTCATACCTTTAGAAATTAGATGCCCCAGTACAGCAAAGGGACAACAAATAAAAGCAATAATGGGGAAGCATTAGCAAATTAAACTTCCAGAGTGAAAATACAGACCCTAAACCAAAGGTTTCTAGCTTGACTGAAAGTCTTTTACATGTCTGAGATGATAACCAAAAGGCTTCTCTTTCTGAAGACGGAAGTCTTCCCCTTTTCCACCCGTACTGGGCATTCAGCAGGTGAGAAGCAGCCTGAGTAGATGTAGCTGGGCACATCGCCACGACCTGCTTGCGGACACTTGACTTAAAATGTCAGAAATACATGTAAGCGACGCCACATCTCTGCCTTCATGCGAGTCCTAATTGCATTTATCTACACAGCTTTGAAGCTTGTTTTTAGTGCTTAGAAATCAGATAGAAGTGGAAAAAACAAGCAATGCTGCGAAGAGGAGCAGCAGGCGATGGGGCATCCAGAGCCAACGTGAGTGAGAAGACCCAGCACTGTGCAGGGTGCAACAGTGCAGTCTGCAACAAAGCTCATCGCCATTTTGAACCAGAGGAAATGTTTGTTACGGGGTCTCAGGCCTCAGGAAGAAAGTCTGGAAAATCCCAAGAGTTTTCCAGTATCCCCTCTGATGCCTTTGAGAGCAGCAAAATGAAGGGAGCCGCTTGCCGTTCCTGGCTCTGGCTTTGAGGAGTCAAGAAGCACCTGCCACGAACCGTGGGTGAAACCTGATGAACGACAACTGTTTCCAAGCTGGTGGAAGCGGGCAGTGGCTCATCAGCACGAGAAGAAACAAAAGCTTTCTGTTCTGGTAAGGAGCCCCACCAGCACTAACAGCATGCTGAGTACTGGCACTTGGGTTAACACAGCTTTCCACAGGGCTTCCATGAACTGTGCTGAGCCTGCACGGGTTTCCTTCATCTTATTTTTGTGTGTGGCAACATGTAAATAAAGCATTTCCACTGTTAGGAAATAAAGGATTTGCAAGCTGTATTCTTGTCTTGATTCATCAGCGTGTGATGCTTACACTCCCATCTTCTCACTTTCCTTGCCAACGGGATACGCTCCTCAGCATTTTTCAGGCTAAATGCTGAGATATTTGATTTTTTCATCAGGCAAAACTGACCCTGAAAAGAAAGTCATCGTGTCCTCCATGATGACCCTTTGGCCGGACTTAAATTCCCATAAGTCTCCTTTTTGGAGAACAGGCATCCAGAACACAGCAGTTGTGCCAGGATTAAGTTCAAGACACCAGGGGTTAGAGCTGCACGCCCAGGGCAAAGGGCACCATTGCCCAACCCGTCTGCTCCTGAGCACAGCAGGAACAGGCTGAACCCAAGCTACGGTCCAACACTGTGGCCAGAAACCAGAGCACGACGTGCTTAACCTACCCTCCTGCCACTTCCTCACAGGTAGTCTGCAGACTCTGGAGTCAGAGGGATTTGCTACCAGCCCCGGGCAGCCCACGCGACACTGAAGAGTTCGGTGCCAAGCACACAAAATGGCATTTGTCTTGCAGGGACCAGAGGAGGACGGGGAAGGGCTCGCGGCGGCTCAGGCAGGAGCACAGCCGCGGCGATGGCTGCAGGGACTGGGAATGCTGCTGCTAAAGGGGAACAGGCCAAAACACGCAGCTGCCTGCCAGCATTGGCACGGCCCCCTCCATTCAGTGGGGGTGCAGGAACCAGTGCAGAAGTGCCCACACCAGTACAGTTCATTCCGGTCTGGGAAGGGAAACAGGGGGCAGGACCTGTGTTAATATTACCATGCTGGCAAAACCAGAGCTCAGCAGGAAAACAAACGTTGCCTTCATAAAACCGCTCTGTGTGCCCGGTCCAGAGAGGGAAGCCCAGCCAGGCAGAGAGCTGTGGGCAGAAACCTCACGCAAGAATTAGAAACACAACCACTTCTGTCTGCTAAAGCAGAGCATGTCCGAGCTGCTGGAGAAGAACCAAGCCCAGGGCAGGGTCTGCCATGTGCAAGAAATAGCACCCATTGGAGGGGACCACCGCGACCGAGTCACGGTGCCTGTGGTTTCACACTCCCCGACTGTGCTCGTCCTGATGGACCCTTCGGAGGAGCGCTCCCCATCTGTGAGTAAACAGCAGAGGATGCTGTGGCGGTGGCAGTGCAATTTAGGTCTGATCCTCTTCTGTCCAAACCAGGGTGAAACCAGAAAGAAGTCACTAATGTCAGTAAAGCAGGAAGGAATTCTTCCCGGTTCCCGTAAGCGGTGGATCCGCTGAGGGAGGCATGGAGGCTGTGAGTCCCAGGCCGCAGGCTGGCTTCCCGAGAGAGCCGGGGGTCCAGGTCCCAGAAACAAGGTTTCCAAGTCCAGCTTTAGCAGATTCAGGAGTTCCCACTAAATTCCACACTTTTAATTCAAATCGCAGGTGTCTGCGGCAGCTCCTCACCCGGTGTGAACTGCCGTACGCACTGCCGTGCAGGGTTTCAGGAGGGGTAAGAAAAGCCCTCACTGAATTCCAAACAGCAGGAAGAAACCCGGATTTTTTTTTTTTTTTCAGAACCACTGGATAAAAACAGCGGGGGGAC